CCTCCTGTTCGGTGGGCAGATCCTCCGAGTCTGGACCATACTATTTCCATCTCTCAACATCCTGGGCACAGGGCCATTCGTGAAACCTCGATAGGATTTTCAAGGCCTGGCGAACCTTAGCCATGTCCGGCCCGAATCCAGTGTGAAACCCTGTATTTAAAAATAAAAAAAATATATATATATATATATATGTACATATTAATGTTTAATCTTTGCATACTATATATTTAATAATATATATTTATTGCATAGCTTTCACTATGTTAATTCATATCAGCTTTCACCGTATAATTAATAATATATATTTATTGCAAGCCACGTGATATGAGTCTGCTATAAACTAGTATAGCCTACCTTATCAAACTTTATTGCACAACTTTCACTATGTTAACTCATATAAACCCTATATAATATTTATTATATATTTTATACTTTACAAAAGCATTTAGAAAGGCCTTTATGCTTACTAAGAGCATCTCCAAGGGAGATGTTAAATACTAAACATCAAATTTAAATTTGATGGCTGATGTGGCAATTTGATATTTACACAGTTTTACACTCCACCCGATATGTCAAATAAATAATTATTGTAACAGTCAAATCATTAAAGATAAAGAAGAAGAAAAATAAAAAAGGAAAATTATAAATGAAAGTAACAACCAACTGTCTTTAAAAATAATAAAATATTCATTTGACATCTTTCTTTTGGGATGTCAAAAATAATAGCTGAACCTCCAACCTTCATTCCACATCAGCTTTGACAATTCGGTTGGAGTGATGTGAGATGTTATTTCTAGCTGTTAAATGTCTATGTGGTACTTTTGACATATCGGTTGGAGATGCTCTAAGCATTCTGTTAAAAATTGACGTGTTGCAAATATATAGTCCTCAAATCTTGTTAAAGCATGAGGTGGAATATGTAAGTAGGAGGTGTAAGCATAGTAGGTATTCTTATATATATATAACCTTAATTTGAGAGTGCTTAAGCACTCTACAAAGCCAACACATAGGGCCATATTTGGGGTGGCAGATTACTTTCAAGCTACCCAAGTAGTCTAGGAAACTATAGACTAGTTGTGTGGCACAATATTAACTTTCATCTATATCTATTACTTGGACTTTGCCGACTTTAGCTTCCTATATATAGCACTATCTAATACTTCTTGTATCATAAGTTTTTCACTTAAAATTGCTTTAGTTTCCTAAAATTCGTAGACCAAGAAAAAAGAGTGAGAACTAAAGTGTGGTGAGATTTTGGAGAAGCTCAAAGTGTTTGGACTTGCGACTGGGAGTTATACAATAGCTTTGGATTTGAGGTAGGGGTTTTTCTTGGGGAGGATTTACATAAATTGATTTAATTAAATATTGTGAACACTATATTATACTTGGTAATATTATTTGATTATTACCCTTGATATTGAGTGTTTACATGTTGTCAATTATCATTATAATTTGATTAATATTGACATGTTCATATGTTATCGGCGGTGGTTAGAATTCTTGGGTTGATAAAGAAATTATGGAAAAGAGGGTAATGGGAAGGATCTTTTGTGTAGTTGAGTCTGACCATTGTAGGGACCAAGTTTAGGTGAGCCTGTGTGCACAATAGAATAGGAAATTGGTGGTATAATATTGTTGATTGGGTGATTTGGGCTTGGAGATTAATGGTGTAGACAAGATGACTAGCAAAAGGAAAATTATGGGATAATTGAGATGGGTGTTAGTTTATATAATGGGGCATTCGAAATCATAGTGGTATGGGACATGCAGATTTGCTTGCCCTATTATACAGATTAACTGGTTGGGTAGAATTGAAGTTCATTCATGCATTGCATAAATTGTACATTATAAATCTCACTAATCACATAAGACATAGGACCCCTTCTGAGCATGTAGTGCTCACCCCTTATTCAATCTATTACAGGTTTTGAATCTGAAGTTTAGTTTGTGACGAGGAAACAAGAAGAACAAGTTGTGGATAGTTTTGGATGTTTTGTTAAAAGGCTGTTACTTCCCTGTTATTTTGCTTGTGAAATTACAATGTAAATTACTTTGGTTTAAATAGAAGTTTATAGTCAGTTCTCATGTTTCTTGATATTTAAATTTTTAGTTTTAGTTTTTTTTTCTTTTACCTCACACTACCAATATATATATAATAAAAAAAATTGGGGTGTGACATCCAGTCTCTTGCCAATGTCATTCTCTGCAAGTAGAAGACAGAAGTCAGTTAGTCACACATCAAAGAATTTAGACAAAATTGAAGCGGATGAATAAAAGAATAATGTACTATTGCAGTAGGTGATGGGGACAAGTGGACCATTGCCGACCTCGTCTTCCCACTGTCCGTTGACCTTCAACACATCTGCGTGCCATACATGATCACCTTGGCTAAGACTGTCAAATAGCTTGGCTCTGCATACATGGACTTGGGTATACTTCTCATGTTGCCTCACTTCGAAGAAGTAGAAGAACTCTCACACTATCAGATCTACCTTGAAGAAACGACTCAAATTCTCAACGCGCATGATTGCCTGGTAGACGTTCAGAGTACATTGACTTGGGGCACACTCCATGGCGCAGAGCACCTTCCTGAACAACTTCGACAACGGGAACGTGAAGCCCCAGGAGAAATAGAAAGGACGGAATATGACAGTTCTAGCATCTGGATCATTCAGATCCACACAAGGCGCATCGTCGGTCGAAGACTCCACCAGCTTGACGTGCACGTCATCAAGTATGGCAGAAGCATATGTGGGACGCCACTTCTAGAAGTGAGCTTTAGACGTAACGCGGTGCAGATTAGCCACGAATCTCTTCTTGGGCACTTTGGAACCACCCCACAGGCACAAAGGCACTTGTGAGCTCGGTGATCGATTACCTTCCTCACAAAACATGATGATTGGACAACTGCAATACAAAAAGAAATTTGTGCAAGTCAAATTACATATCAGGTGTTCAATTGAAAAGAAAAAAAGAACTGGCAGCACAAAAAGAAAAAGAGAAGAAGAATTGGCCTTGTGGCCCGAGCCGCAAGGCATGCCATAGAGCAGCCTGAGCGGAAGGCCCAAGTAGCAGAGCCACAGCAGCGTAGCCATAGTGCAGCCTAGTGAGGAAAAAAAAAATAAAAAGCCCGAGTGTCCCAAATTGCCCCATATGGAATAGCTCCTCCAAGCCAGGCAAGGCCCGAGCCGCTGTAAGTGTATGCATTTTGTGATTTTCTTTTGGCTTCCCTTGACAATTTTGTAATAGGACAATCATTGTAATTTCACAAGCTTTAAGTTTAGATTAAGAATTACTTCTCTAGTTGTCCTTATCTGGCTACATTATGATGGACAACAATGTGTTTGACAAAGGTAAATGCTGCATCGCACTACATTGCATTCACTAAATTTATGAAGATTATTAATAGTCATCTTTCCTTCGTATGACTAGTCAACCTTTGCATCAGTAGGATTTCCAGCTGGATCCTAACCATCTTTTTTGTCATATTCTGGGAATTTCTCAACTGCCATGTGTACTATTTTGACCTAGGAATTTTTGGGTAAAAGCCAAAGAATTCGTCATTTGGCAGCCGTCTCTTTTGTGGGCAAGATTTGGAAAGTTTTCTAAGAAACTTTCTCTTCTTATTCCTTAAGAGTAAACCATCATATTTTTCATCTTTGAGTTTTCCAAATTGATTTTTCGAAAACTGCATTTGAAATATGGAATCTGCATCTAGCTAGATCAAACACAATCTCATATATATCTAGGTCATATTCAAGATTGATTTCTTCAAGAGTATGGTTTCTTGAAGAAATTGGTCATTTTCTCCTTGAATCCAAATTTTGGTTCTATCTGGCTAGCTGGTGCCATGGGATGAAAGAGCTGAAGAAGGAGCTGCCATTGCCATGAAGAACTAAGCTGCTGGTTTTGCTAAGCTGGAGAAGAAGATTGCACAAGGAGTCCAACTTAAAGAAGAAAGCCCAGATGCAGTTGGGAAGCGCAAAAAATATTTCTCATCTCCTCCATGTCTCACAAACGCCATGCATAAGCTGAGGGCATTTGTGGGAGCAAATATTCTGACTTCCAATCACAAGATGCCACATGGATAAGAAGAATATTTCCTAGGTAAGTAATTGAGCCCATTTATTTGGCCAATTAATTGATACAAAAAATAGGGATATTTTCTTAAATATGTGATATTATCTTTATTTGTGAATATAATCACTAATTAAAAGAAAATATAATCAATTTAGGATATTATCATCAATTAGTGATTTGATCCTATTCAAATCCCTAATTGACTCAATCTCTACATTTTGGGGAAAAAAATATCTTCATTCCAAATTAGAAGATATTCTTTGAAAAACCCTAGATGGCTAGAGCCCTATAAATACATGGTCACATTCAACACTCAACGTAATCTGAAACCTAGCTCTAAAACCCCTGAAACCTCTCTCTCTCTCTCCCTAGCCATCAACCATCTCCATTGCCACCGGCGACTCCCTCTCTCATCTCTCCCACATAACTAAGTTCCACCACACACGGCTCTCCCCGTGAGAGAAAACTTCGACCAGTTTAGCTATTGCAGCATCTTTTCTCACAAATCCAATTGAACTAACTTTAACATTTGAGGGCATTTGGCCAACACCCTCGGGATGTAGTCTTTTACTCCTGTTTGTTTTTTAGGAATCAAGGAAGAGAGAGAAGCTCAAAAGATGAAGGATCTACACACAAATATTTTCCCATGAGAAATTTTCACAAACATAAACCATGTATGATAAGCTACGTGGAAAATATAAAAGCAGAGCAGACATTATGATATTGACACTAGTGCCTTGTTAATAACATAGATTTTAAAAGAAATAATTTTGGAATTTCACATATAGCCAGCATCACCTGAAGATCAAGCTTCGAACATATCATCATCTATCTTTATTATATACAATTTTCTGTAGTACCATATATAACACTTACGAAATTAAGTATAACTGAGGCTAACCAAATATATATTAGTGATTTTAACGTCCCTCCAAATCCGAATTAGACACGCCATTTATTGATATAATAAGTTCCAAATCATTTCCACCCACGCCACTCCGGCCGACCACCCTTCTTTTTGTGAAAAATGCTGGCTTTGTAGGTATAGGTAATGGCACACCTTCATTTGTCAACATAGATATGACATCTGACATGCTCGGTCGATCGACGGCATTTTCCTCCACGCATAATAGACTAACATGGACGCATCTCAACAATTGATCCTTAACACATGACTCGCCTAGTGTTGGATCCATAAGTTCTAGCCCTGCCCCTTCTTTCCATAACTCCCATGCCTGATGTAACAAGATCATCAAATTAATTCATTTAGGATATCATAATCTCACACCTGAAAATTTTATCAAACATGGTGTATATGTGTTTGACGTACATAACCTACTATACTGATCACGTGATCATCATTGTAGAAGCTGCTGTTTTTTCTACCACATATGATTTCAAGCATTAGTACTCCAAAACTGTAGACATCAGATTTTGGGGAGAAAATTCCCTCCATGGCATACTCAGGAGACATGTAACCTCTACTCCAAATCGATAAAAAAAAAATAAAAATTAGTACGTATAAATATATATGCATGATTAACAACCAAAAGTGAAAAAATATATATGCATGTTAATTAAGAATGTGTATTGTTTACTTACAATGTCCCAACGATCCTATCTGTATTTGCTTCCAGTTCATTATGGACAAAAGCCCTTGCCATACCAAAATCAGAGATTTTAGGGTTCATATTTTCATCAAGTAGTATATTACTGGCTTTTAGATCTCTATGAATTACTCTCAATCTTGAGTATTTGTGAAGGTAAAGCAATCCTTGAGCGATTCCTTCAATTATGCCGAAACGCGCCTTCCAATCGAGTAACAGGCCTCTGGTTGGATCAGTACCTAAAATAAAGTTAGAAGGGTGAGTAATATATATCACAATACGTACGTTCTTCAAAATAAATAATAAATAGATGTGTGTGTATAAGATTAAAGTAATAGTATGTTCTCAACCAAATAAAAGGTAGTCCAAACTTTTGTTTGGCATATTCTCATATATTAACATCCTCTCTTCGTTATGAATGCAAAATCCAAACAGACGAACAAGATTCGTATGTTGAAGTTCAGATATGAGTATCAATTCATTCTTAAACTCGAATGTTCCTTGCCCTGAACATCTTGAAAGCGTTTTCACGGCTATTTCTTGTCCCGATTCCAATGTTCCCTGAATTAATGGTACAAAATATATCAGGTATTTCTTGGAAATTGATATAAAAATACTTTCAATAGTAATCATAGACTTACCTTATAAACAGGTCCAAATCCCCCCTCACCAAGCTTGTTTTTAATGGAGAAGTTCTCTGTGGCAGCCATGACAGTTGCATAGCTAAATACTCTTAAATCATGTTCCATCACTCCATCATTTTGAAGCCCGTTGACATTAGTGACCGTCAAGTCGACCAATACATTCTCAATCACTGTCCCTTTTTGTTTTTCAGAGATGAGAATCATTCTATCAATATTATGTTAATATGTACATGTTCTGTAAAACGGCTGCACATTAAGTTTACAGAATGTATACCGGAACGTAGTAATTTTCTTCTCCTTCGTAAATAGCACACGATCGAAAGCACCGCTACCAATAGAGCAGCAGTACTGCCAGAGCCAATCCATAACCACTTATCATGTGCTGCATCTAGTATCGTAACATTTAATTAGAACACATTTGTTGTCCCTCATCCTAACTTTCAAATTACAGTCTGCCATACAAATGACCTAAAAAAGAAAATACTACTGAAAAGAAAACAAAGAAAAATTCTTGCATATATGCATACACACTGTGATTTGTGATAAGAAGGAATACTTCGAATTATTGTGATCAAAGTGAACTTCCGCAGAAACTAAGAAGCTGGAGTAATCTAGAGTCTCACCTTGTTTAAGTGTGTCCGTGCCTCTTGCACCACAAGCACAAGTACTCCATATTAAGATTGAAAAAATTATGAAGACAGTTAAGGTGAGACTGCACCTAGCCATGATTCAGTACCGCAGCCACAAGGTGTACTTTCTGATCCAAATAAAGACTTAAAGCCGGCTGAAAAAGTCAAATGGGCTTCTGGCGGTGTACTTCTGCAAATTATTCTGACCAAGGTACCTGTGTGCAATGGAAACGATAACCATCGTCTGTAAGACAGGTTTCTATTTCAAATGGAGCACCCTTCACACATATTCACAGGAGATGTATTGTATCATTTAAAAAAAATTCATGCAATAATTAAAGGCTCTAAGGTCGCAAGAGACCGCAGCTTAAAAGGATATATGGAATCTAGTATTATTTCTACAGTTTAAGATTCAGAACAAGAAAAGAAAAAAAAATCCAAAGTTTTAATATGAAATTTAAGAGCAAGAGTATTGTAATTCAGACTTATACTGTCGTATATATAAACGACTGTACACTTTAGCAAGACGCCCACTTAATTTTTTCCCTAAATGAAAGTGGTGGAGGGAGGAAAACTATCATGGGAATCAACCTTAAACGGCATCAACTTCATTTTGAAAAGTATCATGGCAATAATTGCACAGTTAGGGTTAGAAGACTTGATTGTTTGGTTGTTTCAATAACCGCACAAAGAAAACTGAGGAACTTTGCCCAGCCAAGTGTACGGATGTTGACAGCTTTTCTGAGAAAGGTCAAGCCTTAAGAATGTTACATACAAAAATCAAATAGAAGCATGCAAACCAAAAGCTGCAAACTTGAGAAGGGTCTGTGAGCCTCAAATGATTCAAATGAACATAACCTACCTTACCTTAAAGCATATGCATGGGAGTTCTGTACAATTACTGTTTGAGGCTCTGAAAGCAAATCAATGAACCTCTAACTATAGAGGGAAAACGATGAGATTTATTGTAATTAGTCTCTAATTGGATGGGATTAAGTAGTCCAACTCCAGTGAGATCCCACATATATTTTGATAAGATTAATTAATTAAGTAGTCTATGGGCGGATCACCCTGCACTAAGAACTGCGTGACTTTTAACCATCAAAATCTCCTCAAGAAACCAGTCAAACCGGAGCCAACAAAATTACTTAAGAAAAAAGGGTTAAAGACCTCAACCTTAAACAAATCTTCTGCGTAACTGCGTTCGGACTGCAGATGTAAACGCTTCCAAATATTTCGGCTTCTTATATTTTAGTTGTTGATGAGCTGCAATAGACCATTTTTTCCCATTAATTGAAAAGACTTAGCCAATTAATGGACTTGTTCGTTAATCAAACTGAGAATCACAATGACTAATTGTTGTATGACTTTTAACCATCAAAACCTCTTCAAATTGTGTCAAGCCGGTGCCCAACAAAATTACTTTGGAAAAAAGGGTTCCAATCCTCAACCTTTCTTTCCATAGTAATTTTCTACGTAATTACGTGCAGACTGCGGATGTAAACGATGGTTAGATTTCGGCTCCTAACTTGAATTAGTGATGTTGAATGGAATGCAAGAAAGTCATGGGCCGCGTGCCAAAATATAGTTAAATTGGACTATGTACAACTAAATTCTAATTTGCTCAACACCCATGTTTCATGAGCTCTCTCTTTTCTCCCCGTCCAAATGCTGTCTGTGGGTTGAGTGCAGATGCTGTCGGGGGGTTGGGCACGTTTGGTTATACCTAGGATCGATGTTGTCAATAATTTTAAATTTTATTTTTGAGTTTTGTTGGTAATATATATAAACCTTAATTACCGTACGTTGGTTTGACAGCAGCCTTTTAAACCTTATGTTACTTTTGATCTCGAATGTCTCCCCGCACCATTCTTGACTCTGCAAGGTTTCCTTTGTGCCCACATATATAAAATACTTTGTCTTTTGCTTTTCCTCGAAAAAAGAAAAACATTATAGGCAGTTGTAAGACCAGAACCCAGTAGCGAAAGGGAAGCCCAAGGCCGGAAGCCACAACACTTGTTCTGTTCATCATATCTGTAGTTTCTGGATACGACCTGAGCTTTATCATCCCCACCTCTGTCCAAGAACGAAAGGAAAACCCTAATAAGTTATTTTTCGAAAATAATTCATGAGTACAAGCATGAACATATTATAAGCTAAAACACAAGCCTCAGCATGTTTTTTCCTTAGATGAGTGACAGCAAGACCTTTGGACCAAATATAGCATAAATTAGAAAAAGCAAATTATATAAAATATATATATCTTAGATGACTTTTGAACATTCCACAGGTCCAATAAACCACCCCACGACGTTCAACTAGCGTCCCATGAATCATGATGAACGAGACCAAATTTGGTCGTTTATTCTAAAAAATTAATTTCCTGCCGCCCGGCACGTGGCCACAACACTACTGTTACTATTTGGTAATTTTACTAGCAGAGTAAAGACGCAGAAGGTCACCTCCTTCACCTTGGTGCTCCATTTTCAATGTTTTCTTCTTGGTAATTTTACTGGAGTTGGTTCTGTAAAAATGAATGATTATTGATTCCAATCCCTCAGCTCTATATATATATATAAACTTGAGATAGAACAAGCACTACTTTGATATGCATTCACTATTCAAAGTTATCAAAATATGTATTCACTGTTTAAAAATACAATATACTAGATATTTCAAATACGTATATAAGAAATTTTCGCACATGCTAATAGGGGTGACAATTCGTGTTCGTGTGTGTTGTGTTATTATGATGATGTGATTAGTAAATATATCAACACTTACACTATACAATTTTATTCAATGTGTTCGTATCATTTGTGGGATAGGATGTGTATAGCATGATCTACTGGAATAAGAGTTTATAGCTTTAAATAAAGTTGTTGAACAAGCGTAATGGCTAAGAAACTTTCTAGAGGACATTTCACTATGGCCTAAGCCTGAGTAAATTAAATTTACATTAAGGAGAATGCGATTAAAGCAAATCCAATGAGTCAAGCCTGGTGGAAACCTAACTTAGTTGATTAGAGCATGTCCACCCCAAAAGACTAAGGCAAGGCAATGGCTGGCACTATTCATGTGAATAGTTCCAGCCTTGCCATTTTGGTTCCACCCCAAAAGGCCAAGGCAAGGGCAAATACTATTCATTGTACTTTATTTCCTATTTTTTTAATACTTTTTTTTTGTCTGAATTTTTTTATACTTTAAACCATTAATTTTGATAAGCTTTTCAGATAATATTTTCAGTTGCCACGTGTCACTATTTATTATAAAATTATCACCTAAAATTTCAAATAACATTTTTCGGATAAGATTTTTGGTTGCCACGTGTCCATCATTTTTCAAAAAAGATTTTCGGATGAGATTCTCGATTGCCACGTGTCTTATTTCAGATAAATTTTTTGGATATTTATTTAAAAAAATTATAATCTCAAATTTCAGATATGATTTTCAGCCTAAAAAATTGCGCCATGTGTCCCACGTCAGATAAGATTTTGAGATATTTAAAAAAAAATTATAATCTCAGATTTCATATAAGATTTTCAACCTCTAAAATTGCGCCACGTGTCCCATGTCAAATAAGATTTTCAGATATTTAAAAAAAAAATTATAATCTTAGATTTCTAAAATTGCGCCACGTGTCATATCTATCTTCTGAATCCCTCTATAAAACTACACCATCAACTCATACCTCTCACACCATATCTTATCTATTCCTTCATTTATGAGATTTTACAAAACACATTCTACTTTCAATGTCAAACTTGAGAAGGGTGTTGGAGAGGCAAGAGCGAGAAGAGGAAGAAATCCGACGCAGACGTGCTGCGGAAGATCGGGAGGCCGATGAAGAAGAGGAAGAAATGCTTGTAGCGGTGTGTATGCTTAATGAATCAAGGCAACACCACCGTTGTCGTGCCCCGAATGTTGACAGACGTAGGCAGTCTCGGGGTAAGAATCTCTTGGAAGATTACTTTATCCCAAATTCGTTATATCCTGTTTCTAAGTTTCGAGAGAGATATAGAATGCAGCCACATTTGTTCCAAAAAAATCATGCATGATATTTGTAATTAAGACACATACTTCATTCAGAAGTATGATGCTGTTGGAGTTTTGGGTCTTCTCTCGGTGCAAAAACTTACAGCTGCTTTGAAGATGCTTGCTTATGGGGTATCTGCAGAGCAGGTGGATGAGATTGCAAGGATGGGAAAATCAACTATCCTAGAGTGCTTGGTGAGATTCTGTGATGTAGTAGAAAATCTCTACACGAGGGAGTACCTTCACAAACCTACGCCTAGGGACCTCCAAAGGCTTATGCAAAAAGGTAAGGCTCAAGGTTTCCCAGGAATGATTGGAAGCATCGATTGCATGCACTGGCAATGGAAGAATTGCCCAACTGCTTGGCAATGAGATTATGGGAATCGAAAGGGCCAAAAAAGTATAATTCTGGAGGCCGTAGCTTTATTCGACACTTGGGTTTGGCATGCCTTCTTCGGAGTTGCCGGATCTCAGAATGACCTCATTGTGCTTGGTCAATCCCCGGTCTTCAACGATGTATTGTGAGGTCATTTCCCCCAG